CGGGTTTCGCGCGCGGCGCAACAACTTTCTTTCTTCGGATAAGGCATGTTGGCAGCTCGATGGGCTTCGAGGAAGCGTTTCCTACGCGAGAGAGGACGGAAACTTTCTCCACCTACGTACCACACGACACCCCGCCTTGGAAATCGTGCGACTCCTCTTGTCCGTCTCCGGCCAGACCTGGACAGTACTCGAGAAAAGTTTCCGTGCGATCTTGATCGTTGAAATAATATGTTTACTTTTCAGATAATGAGAGATACGACCGACGGATATTATGTTATGTTATTACCATCCAATTACCACTTATTTAAATTAATTAAAGTCAGCGAAGATCGGCCAATTAAACCGGTCGATGTAGAAACGGTTACTGCATCGAGATGAGCGAAAGTTCAAACAGCTATAGTTGCCTTTCGAATATCGACTTTTATATCTCTTTTCTATTCTTTCATAGAGTAAACATATATCTTTCGAAATTATTTTATTTTCTGTCATATATACTTGAATGAATTTGCCTTTCTATTAGTTCAGATGATCGATATTTTAATGTACTATCAAGCGTGTCATGTAAAAACGAATTAATTTCAGCTTCGACGAATAAACCGTGGTGTTTTAGCGTGTCATTTACTCGTCGATGAGGCGACCATTTATTTGCATCCCGATGAATATTCCAAGTAAAAGCATCTTCAATTTTCCGAGCCGCTTATTGTTTCTCATTGGCTGAATAACTCTATTATCTGACGCGCTCGTTCGTAAAACGCTGCTCGCGTGATTCATCGTTAGCAGAATTTTATCAACTTTCTTAAAAATTTCTCCCCTCGTGTTTGAAGTAGAAACAAATCAAAAGTTATCGATCGTTGTGACAAACGCGTGGTTGCTTCGTCATTGGGAACAATTGAATCTTTTGAGGTTAATTTTGATTCGTACGTTCGAAAAGATGATCGATGCTGATCGAACTGTTAAAGGGTCGATACGTTTTTAATGCTCGACGTGAGAATGTTGAAATTAATTCTGTGTCGTCGTGGCTGTATGCTTGTACAAAAATTCATGACGTTGAAGTCAAACAAGTTCTTGATTCTCCGCGTTAAGCGACGCTAAGAATTTGCACATCGCGGGTAATTGCTTGCTGTTGACAGAACGATTACGATAGATGTCTCGCTTGCTTTAAATCTCGACGAGTCCTTGCAACTGTTTACAGTAAAAAAGTCTACTTATATTTTCGTGTCATGACGACGGGCGAAAGGAGCAAAAGACGCGGGGGGAAAAAAGGTTATGGTATATTTTCAACGGGCCAATAGAAAAATTCGTTTCGCGATAGACTCGCTAGATACGGTAACATTAAATATTCCGGAGGTAGGTTAGGCCATTGTCGATTGAGAAATCAAACGGAAGACACGAACGTGCCTCGTCGTTTATTCGCGGATTGCGACACACGACGTTCGATGTTACGTCAATTGCGACTCGCACATTATCGATCGACCATCGAGCTTAACTTCTTCCATTTATCCGCGTACGAGATTAAATAAAAGTACCGCGTGAGTTCCGCAAAAATATTTACGTTGTTCGAGGAAATTTAATATTACACGATTTAATGTGACGATATTATCGAGACACGTGCTCATCGTCGAGAGATCGATGTTAATTCGTCGTCTCGTTTCGTGTCTAATGGCCGAGACTATGCCGATAATTAAGGTCTGTGAGATCGTTGACACAAAAGTTGACGTTTCGCCATCGACGCAATTCCGTGTTGAACGTTCGCCATTATTTAAGCAACATATCGAACATTCGTCGTGCGTAACGTCGCTCGTTCCCGGTGTTGTGTGTGGACAAGTAATGACACTAAACATAGAATAGACGAATGTTCAAAATATGTTTGCAAACTCATGCAGCGAACTTGCGAAATATTGGGGGCGCAAATCTTGCAAATATAAAATAAATACTGTAATTGTAACACCCCTGGGAAAAATTTTAATGGGAGATTCTAGAGGCCAAAATAAGACGAAAATCAAGAATACCAATTTGTTGATAGGGGCTTCGTTAAAAAGTTATTAACAATTAAATTCAAAAACTTCAAATCGTGCTAAAAAAATTATTTTTAGCTAGGGGAGTCAATTACCATCATTTTTTGTCATTATACATACCCTCGAAAGCCTACTCATTTTTTAGAAAAAAATTCAAGAAAGTGGACCAATTTTTCGTCGAAATTGAAAAGTTTCAAATCGTTCTGAAAAAATTATTTTTAGCTAGGGGAGTCAATTACCATCATTTTTTGTCATTATACATACCCTCGAAAGCCTACTCATTTTTGGGAAAAAAATTCAAGAATGTGGACCAATTTTTCGTCGAAATTGAAAAGTTTCAAATCGTTCTGAAAAAATTATTTTTAGCTAGGGGAGTCAATTACCATCATTTTTTGTCATTATACATACCCTCGAAAGCCTACTCATTTTTTAGAAAAAAATTCAAGAAAGTGGACCAATTTTTCGTCGAAATTGAAAAGTTTCAAATCGTTCTGAAAAAATTATTTTTAGCTAGGGGAGTCAATTACCATTATTTTTTGTCATTATACATACCCTCGAAAGCCTACTCATTTTTGAGAAAAAAATTCAAGAATGTGGACCAATTTTTCGTCGAAATTGAAAAGTTTCAAATCGTTCTGAAAAAATTATTTTTAGCTAGGGGGGTCAATTACCATCACTTGTTGTCGTTATACATACCCTCGAAAGTCTACTCATTTTTGAGAAAAAAATTCTTTACTGAAAATCTAATTCGCCGCCAAAATTTTTCGTCGAAAAAAAAAACACTTCAAATCGTTCTGGAAAAATTATTTTCGGTTGCGGGGGTCAATCACAATAATTTTTGGTGAATAAACATACCCCCGAAATCCTACCCACTTTCTAGAAAAAAATTCGGGAAGATGTGAAATTTTTCGTCGAAAAAAAAAATTTCAAATTGTTTTGGAAAAATTATTTTCGGTTGCGGGGGTGAACTACAATCATTTTTGGTGAATAGACACACCCTCGAAATCCTGCGCATTTTCGAGAAAAAAATTCAATATGGGCGAAACTTTAAACGTTAATAACTTTTTAACGAAGCTTCTATCAACAAATTGGTATTCTTGATTTTCGTCTTATTTTGGCCTCTAGAATTCCCCGTTAAAATTTTTCCCATGGTTGACTGAACACCCTGTATATGTATTTTGAATACATTTTATGAGGAAATGCTCTAGTTCTATAGATAAATCGTAAATATCTAACAAACTTATAAGTGTGAATTAGAACTGTTTCGGTCCTGTCGTCCTACCATTCGTCATTCAATTATTAACAGCGATTAAGAAAAATCCAAAAGTGTAGCTTTTTAGTTCGCGATACCAATCGGTTTGATAAGAATTTGCGCGTATCGAAAACGAACGAGTGGCGTGGGTGGGCCCCAAGGGAACAATTTATATTTAGCGACTCGTACGTTAACGTCGGGTATCGCTTTATTGCAATGGGCTACTCTCGTTCACCCCGGTCACGCTTTCTCCGGCCAATGCGAGACGGAGCTCTGCTTTTCCATTTGTACAATCCGCGGCAATTATATTTCTTCACGAAAGCGATACTCGTGCTCGTATCGCCTGCGAAAGATCTCTATTTTGCGTGTCAATAAAACGTTTACAAAATTTCAATCTTAGAAAGCCACCGAAACGTTGAATTATCAGCAATTCGTGCCATCTAAACAATTTTTCTGGACAAACGATCACGAAAAATATAATTTATACATTTTCAAACAAAACGGACACACTATACAATTTTACTTATTTGTTTCATTCCGTTACGTAAAAAAGTGGTTTAATGCACGCTGTTCCTAACAATGGATTGGTCGAGGAGGATCAGTTTCCTAACCTCTTAGGTCACCTAACCTCGCACCTTTAGATTTTACCAGACATTTTCAAGGAGAAGGTTTGTGATATAAAAATACATAGACGAAATTAAGGTAAATAAATTCAATGTTGATATCAGACTTGTATCGATAAAGGGTGCAACTTTGTACATAAAAAAAAAGAATTTTATGACAAAAACACACAAAGTTATTTTAAGTTTCAGTTACAATTCAATTTCTATTTATAAAAAGTAAAAGAATGCATGTCTTTAAATCAAATTTAATTTGTAATTTTTTCAAATAATTCCATCTTCTTTTAACATTCTCGATTTTGTCTTATCGCCATTGGAAACAAAGCGACAATAAGTTCGACGTCGAGACGTTTAAGCTTTTGTTCGTAACGTGCAGTTGATGTGCAAGAGATTATTCGACCATGGAGCCAATGATACACGGGGCATCAAGGACAAATTATTCCTTTCTTGCAAGCACGATTTCCCCTGCTACTTACTCGAGCCATTGCCTTGCTCGTCGCCTACGTGCTTATATTTTAGGTAATCTAACCAATGGCGACTCTAAGTAACATTTTTAACTCACTTGCGTTATACGATAAAAATAAAAAATGTTTTGAAAAGTATTTAATTTAATTTATTCATAAATGAGAAAATCTATCGGTTTACAAAACTTATTATTGTATTTGTGCGGATCTTACAAACTTCTCAAAATAGATCTACTGTAAACATTTAAAGATACGTCAAATAGATCAATTATTAGCCAAACTATCTTTGTATATAGTTCAAAATATCTTGTGGTATTTAGCCACATTTATTGAATTAAATTCGTGTAGGTAATTGATTATAATTAATGGTCGATATTTATCAACTGTAACATCATTATTATAAACCCTATAGTCGGTCAGTTATTTTATAAAATAAAAGCAACTAAAGGTGCCAATTTAGTATCCATCAATGTGAGTTTTGTTGCTGAAGTAATATAAGATTTAAATATCGTTCCATTAACGTGTAAGTTTTGAAATTTGAATTTTCACGAATGAAATCGACGTCGTATCGATATCGCGTCGAGCAGTCGACCGATCGAGAAATACATCGAAAGTCGAAATTGTGAAAGTACGTAATGGCGGCCAGTGGACGCTAGTAACAGCTGTGTGGTGTCTTTGTAGATACTTAAACGCGACATTCGTGTATTTTCTTGCCGATTTCCAAGGTCACGTACCTCGCATTATCAACGCGACAACGCCAGCGGCAAATCGGGGAGATTAGGTTTACGTTCTGTGCCCGAGGAAAAGATTACGTCGAAGTGTTTGGAAAAAGTATAGGTTATAGTGTTGCATTTTTCGAGCATTAGCTATATTTACCGAGAATGTTCTAATAGGTTTTGAGTTTCGAAGATTTACTAATGGACTAGAAGATTTAACGATCTTCTAGAGAAAACCTCGTGAAGATGTCAAATTGGAATGACAACAGGGGTCCGATTCCGCCCCGATGGTTAACCTGTCCGCGCAAAGCGGTGAAATTAATTCAAAATAAGTTTCTCGCTTTCAAGACGCCGTTGTCGGCCGCGTTCGACAGCCAAGTACCGGAGGAATGTCGTTTCACGTTGGAAATGTTGTTCGCGTCGTTAAAGAGCCAGAAGCTGAAGTTGGGCCTATGGATCGATCTAACTAATACCACAAGATTCTACGATAAGAAAAGTCTGGAGACGTACGGCTGTAAATATTTGAAATTGCAATGTCGAGGTCACGGCGAAACACCGTCGGAAGAACAAACAAGGACATTTGTACAAGTCTGCAAGAATTTCATATCGTACAATCCGCTGGAAATTATCGGCGTTCATTGCACGCATGGTTTTAATAGAACAGGTTTCCTTATAATTAGCTATTTGGTAGAGAACGACGGTACCAGCGTAGATGCCGGTCTAGTGGAATTTGCTACAGCAAGACCACCGGGTATATACAAAGCTGATTATATACAAGAGTTATTTAAGCGATACGACGATATAGAGGATGCACCTCCTCCTCCTCCTAGGCCAGCATGGTGTTTGGAATATGATAATTCCGATATAGAAGATAGGGATGAGGGACCCAGTACGGAAAGCGATAATCGTAGTCAGGAAGGGCTTAATAGAAAGAGAAAGCGCGAACACAATAACAAAAACCCTATATTTATGGCTGGTGTGCCGGGTGTAATTCCTATTTTAGAGGAACGAAAATTAAGCGGAATACAAAGACGCGTTCAAGATATATGTTCTTGGGAATCATCGGGATTTCCTGGTTCTCAACCAGTCTCTATGGACGAGAACAACATTAGATTGTTGCATGAAAAACCGTACATGGTGTCCTGGAAGGCAGACGGAACCAGGTTAGGTGGTAATTTAGTTAAATTATCGGGTGCATTCTTAAAACTCATAAGACTGTATTCCCTTAGGTATATGATGTTGATACAAGCAGACGGAGAGGTGTATTTCATAGATAGAGACAATAGTGTGTTTCAAGTTAGTGGATTAACATTTCCACATATAAGGGACATATCCAGGACTCTCAGAGACACATTGTTGGACGGTGTAAGTAAACGTTTATTACAAAATTAACGCTGCATTTTGAAACCGATATATAGATCATCGATAGTTCGTTATTCAAACGAATGATGCATCGTCAGAGACCGTTGTTGCTCTCTAGAGATAAATTAAAGAAAGCTGGCAAAGTTACAGATATCTACCGATGAGCTTGAGAAAACTAATTTTCTAGAAAAACTTTGATTTGCAAAAAATTGAATTTGGGGTGCGAGACTTGTATACGAGAAGTTAGCAAAAACAAATGCACGTCAGAATAATCAAATTTAAAAAATTTAAAAAAATGCAACAAGCGTGCTATGATGTGGCGCCGTTAGTATCGAAAGGGTTGCAAAAGTATCGATGAATTTAAAAAATGAGCTATTCGTCCTTTGAAACTGTTCGCATCGTATCCAGGCCTGGGCACATTTATTTGAAAAAAAAAAAAAAAGAAAAATACCAAAATAATTGGGCTTAAGAATTATTGAATTAATACATTGACTGCCATGCTAGTTTTCCATATCTAAAGATAATTCGATCGAATACACCTGTTACCATTTACTCTGTTAAATCTGAATCTTTTAGTTACTTAATAAATATTCATAGAAATATTTTTGTAGGAAATGGTGATTGACAAGGTAGATGGAAAATCGATTCCAAGATACTTAGTTTACGATGTAGTTATGTACGATGGCAAAGATGTGAGTAAATTACCGTTTCATCCCGATCGTTATTCGATTATCGAGCGGGAGATTATGGGTGGTAGACATAAGGCACTGAAAGAAGGAAGATTGCGAAAAGAGAAGGAACCGTTCGCAGTACGGTTGAAATTCTTTTGGGACGTGACGCAGGCTGGTAGTTTATTAAGCGACAAATTCGCCAAACAGCTCTGCCACGAACCAGACGGTTTGATATTTCAACCCGCTAAAGAACCGTATTGTCCAGGTCAATGTAAAGAAGTATTAAAGTGGAAACCGTTGTCGCTTAACTCTGTTGATTTTAAATTGAAAATAGTTACAGACTCCGGAGTAGGAATTGTTCAAAAGAAAGTTGGACATTTATACGTAGGTGGATTAAATGTGCCATACAGTCAAATGAAACTCACCAAAGAAATAAAGGATTTGAATAATGCAATAATAGAGTGCAAGCTCGAGAACGGCGAATGGGTTTTCATGCGTGAAAGGAACGATAAATCGTTTCCGAATTCAAAGAGTACGGCGGACTCTGTGTTGAAAACTATTGGTACACCGATAACAACGGAACGTCTTGTAGATTATATTAATAGGCATAGATTCTTGCAAGACGATTCCGATCTAATGCCACCGCCGAGTAAAAAGAGGAGATGATCGGAAACTGCGGCTGATTAAGCGCAGCTTCGTCAATATTATTATTTACTTAGAATTTAAAAAAAAAAAATTATACATTTATCGTAACGTTTAAAAACAGTTTACAAGCATGAACTACTTTTACCTAGCCCATTGTACTCGTACAAAGTTGTTTTAATTGCTGTAAAATCTTACGAATTTGAGATTGTTCATTCAATAAAGAAACTTTATAATAATTTGTGTGTAATTTCTTTCCACGCCTCTACTCGTACATCGGATAGATCGAACGCTTAATTATATGTTTACTGATATTCTTTATCGTAGTTCACTTTTTTTATTCGAATTATTACGATAAATGTAATGAAATTTTAATCCTTTATTTTTTCCATATTACAGATAGGACTGTATTGTTATGGTGTACAAAAGAACTGACTGTAAAGAAGAAGAGATCGCTGCGTGTAAATATAGAGTTCGACCATGCAACATTGGTACGCTGGTCGCCGGATGGCAAGGCTTTTATCATACACAAAGCTGTTGCGAACGCTATAGAGGTCTACAAGATTTCGAAAAAATCGGATGGCACTCTGGCTTCCGCGACAAAAGCATTAGAATTCCCAAAAGTAAGTATTTAAAATTCTTCTTCCCTGATAATGTTTCTCCATGCATACTTTATGGTGTTGATATTTTAGCGACATACTGAAGAGGTAGTAGGCATGGATATTGCAAGCACAGGAAAATATATCATCACATGCAGCAAAGCAAACGATCTCGTGATATGGGATCTCAAGGGTCAGATTCTAGCAAGCATAGAATTTTATCTGGGATTCATTTACCGTGCACGTGTGTCGCCCTGCGGCCGTTTTGTCGGCGCCTCTGGTAATAATTCTACACACTTTGTTTATTTCAAAATACTATTAAAGTCATTTTAAACATACATTCCTACAGTTTCTTCTCGCTCTTATACAGGATCATACCTGGGAAAAATTTTAATGGGAGATTCTAGAGGCCAAAATAAGACGAAAATCAAGAATATCAATTTCTTGATAGAGGCTTCCTTAAAAAGTTAAATTATTAGTTAAAAATTAAATTAAAAAATTTCAAATCGTTTTGGAAAAATTATTTTCGGTTTCGGGGGTCAATTAGAATCATTTTTGGTGAATAGACATACCCCCGAAATTCTACGCAGTTTCGAGAAAAAAATTCAATAGGTGGACAAAGTCGGAAAAATTGAAAAATTTCGAATCGTTCTAAAAAAATTATTTCTAGGTTCTGGAGTCAAATACAACCATTTTTTGTGAATACACATACCCCCGAAATCTCACGCACTTTCGAGAAAAAAATTCAGGAAGGTGGACTTTTTCAGCGAAAAAAAGAAATTTCAAATCGTTTTAGAAAAATTATTTTCGATTGCGGGGGTCAATTACAATCATTTTTGTTGAATAGATATACCCCTGAAATCCTACGCAGTTTCGAGAAAAAAATTCAATAGGTGGACAATTTTTCGGCAAAATTGAAAAATTTCGAATCGTTCTAAAAAAATTATTTCTAGGTTCTGGGGTCAAATACAACCATTTTTTGCGAATACACATACCCCCGAAATCTCACGCACTTTCGAGAAAAAAATCCAGAATGGTGGGCTAATTTTTCGACGAAAAAAAAGATTTCAAATCGTCGTGAAAAAATTACTTTCTGTTGCGGGGGTCAATTACAATCATTTTTTGTCATTATACACACACCCGAAATTCTACGCATCTTCGAGAAAAAAATTTAGTGGTATTCTTGATTTTCGTCTTATTTTGGCCTCCAGAATCTTCCATTAAAAATTTTTTTCATACATAGGTGCTCGAAACACTATATTAATAAGGAGGGATGAGCTATCTTCCATATGCAAGTTGTGTCATCGAGTACTAATTTCGATTAATCTAACCTTTCTTTTTAAGGGTTCACGCCGGACGTAAATATATTCGAAGTATTGTTCACTAAAACTGGAGACTTTCAAGTGAATAAAGCCTTCGACCTCGCCGGTCATTCATCAGGAATATTAGACTTCGATTTCAGCGCCGACAGTAGTTACATGACTACCGTATCGAAAGATGGAACATTCCGGTTATACGATACGAAAAGTAACAGAATAATTAAATTACAACCATCTTGCGTAATAAAATTTATCCAATAAAATCCCGTTTAATGACTGTGTTGTGTATTTACAGTTGAATTTGCGAAAGGAGAGGATCCACACTTGCTTTTAACCGGAACGTGGGAGAGCGCAGCAACAGCTAAAGTCGCGCTATCCCCTAACACTGAGGTTTTGGCAATAGCTCATGGATCCTCGTTAAGTTTTTACTCCACCATTGATGGCTTGTTAGATAATACTATAGAAGATATTTTTATGGGTATTCTTCTTATTTTTTGTCCTATTGAATCGTTCTTTTCGTTTTTGCACTCGATAGGCAACCGAGAGCCTATATAAACAATATAAATTTGCTTAAATATACAAATAGAATATTGTTACAGGTCCCATAACGTGCCTAGCTTTCGACGCTTTGGGAGAGTACGTCTTGGTCGCTGGCGATAAACATATAAAGGTCTTCCACAATATTACCGGTTATCGAGTGGCGATCGAATCCGCGAAACGTAAGCTTGCACAGAAGCAAACGTCAGCGACGAAGGAACGCCTGGAGAAACTCATCGTCGACAACATGAAATTTCTTGACGAGATGGGAGAACCATTCTCTCAATAAATCGATCGCGAAGTTCCTCCCGTCGAAGGCGAATAATTTTTGAGATTGAAAGTGCATTTAAAGCAGCATTATCACTTGTGCAAAGAAAGATTGTTTGTAACATAATTTTTTAATGTACTTGAATAAAGGGGTTCATATGAAGTTCGTTTGTTTAGAGAAGTTAATTCAACGACATTTGAAACGTGCAATTTCACGCTGTAAATTGCGTCATTGGTCGAAGAATACGAATACGAATACGAATATGGATACGTTAATTCTTCTGACCTTCGGTATGTAAATATTTATTTCTTGACAATATGGTTTCGTTTATTCTCAGTGACAGTTGTGAAAGAGGAAGAACTATGGCAGCAGCGACAGAGGTTTGCTTTTAATTGGATAGATCGTTTGTGTCGTAATATTTTTACAATTTCTTTGGTTTTCCAACAGCCGACGACGATGTTCGAGTGGGATTTGATAAACGATTTGGGTGCTTTGCCGGAGAATGAAGCTATCAGTACGTATACGATAATTGTATTGTAAATATCGTGCCTCCAATAAAAAAATTAGAAATCTATCGAATCTCGAGTAGTCGAGATCGTCGAAGATATCGAAAATTTTACTTAAATCAAAATAATTTAATCGAACAGTTGTACGGATAAGTTCCTATTATAATACAAATTTTTATTTAATTTTATAAACAATGGCTTTTTCTTAGTTATAGATTTTCTTCTGGAGCGGCTCAAACGCGGTCAAATTTACACATGGGTCGGTCCACTGCTTCTGACATTGAATCCCAACAACGAAGCGTCGACGTCGCGTTTGTACGACTTTTCAGAATTCGACGAGCAAATTAACACGCACGACGCTATCAACGAAGCGAGTGCTCACATATTTACCGTGGCTGCCAAGGCACATTACAGTCTTACCCGAGAACACGGCAGACATTGTCAGGTAAACGTTCAAATTTACAAACGAATGATCATACTCTTCCACAGATTTCTAACGATATTTGCGAACCAAGGTAATCATTATAAGCGGCGAGACCGAAACAGGAAAAACGTTCAACGCTTTCAAGTGTCTGGAATTCCTCAGCAGAATTAACAAAAATTCGGCGCCATCTTGCGAACGGGATCACGCATACGACATTATGGAAAGAATTACGGACGCTTGTCGTCTGATATCCGCTTTTACGACCGCGTGCACCGAAAGAAACGACGTAAGTTCGAGGCACGTGCAACTCGTACGGCTTCATTACAAAGCTGGCAATATTTATGGCGCCACCATTAATTCCTTCCTGTTGGAGAGGAGCAGAGTGACGAGAGGTTCGAGTAATTTTCAAATATTTTATCAGGTTCGAGTCTCTTTGTTTCCGGTGCTTGTTCTCAGAGTTGTATAGTCCGGGCCACGATATAGCGAGGTTGTAAACTCGAGTAGTTTCAAAGTTTACGTGTTTCAGCTCCTGAAGCAAGTGAATCGACAGAAATAAGAGCAGCTAAGGGCCTGTGGTGGCGCTGCATTGCTGGGGTGGTTAGGATCTCGTGAGAATCGTAGGAGGTTAGAAAAGAAAAGGAAAGGTGGGGGCTGCTAGTGGACTCATCAGTAAGGCTTTCTAGCAGTTTCTGGGTTAGGTCTGAGTAGGTATCTAAGGCTTAGACCACTGGGATATTGGGAAGTCGTTCGAGGAACGTATAGCAACCGAGGGGTCGGTCGGTCGAGCGCGGCGCCTCTAGTGGCGAGCGTGGGAGGCAACGCCACAGGCCTTAGACCATAGTCAGGACCGTACAAAGAAATGTTTTATCTAGTGTCGTATTTTTAGAGGTATCGTAACAGATAAAGGTCTTACTCAAGTCTTTAATATCTTAATTTACCTGCTTATAATATATGCATAGTGTAATTACGAACACAGAAAGTCGCCCTCAAGCAAGATGTCATATACGGCCCTAAGTGCCACAACAGTAGTTAGTCCCAATCCTCAAGAGTTTAGTTTACGACCTCGTTATATCGTGGCCCGAATTATACACCCTTTAATCCACACAGCCAATAACCAACGATGCGTGTTTCAGATGATATTCGGAATGTCAAACGCGGAACTCGACACGTTCAACTTATCCGAGTATGAAAATTATGATATACTAAGCGCTATCGATTACAGCAAGAGGAAATATTACCAAGAGTGTTTTCAAGATACTTTAAAGGCACTGGAAGTGTTGGGGTTCAAAGAGGAGAAGAAGGAGCACCTTTTTCAAGTTCTTGCTTTGTTGCTTCATATGGGAAATATTCGGTTTGCAGAGAATGGCGAAGCTTGTACGATCGATCTTACCAACGAAGGTATGTAAATAGTTATAACATTTCACGGGAGAACGGTGGACTTTGTGAAGCTTCAATTTCAGAGTCCAAGAAAGCTTTAGAAAACACGTGCGATCTTATGTCCTTAACCAAGGAAGTAGCGATCGAGTTATTCACCACCATTCTCATAAATCCAAAAAGTGTTTGGCGAAAGCACACCGTGTATCATCGCTATCTTACCACTGTCGATGCGTGTCGCATGAGGTTACACAGTATAATTAGACACTTGTACGATCTTCTGTTCCATTGGGTCCTAAATTGCGTGAACGATGCTTTGTCCACGAAACACGAATACTTAGAATGGCTTGGTATGATATAAAATTTAATTCTCTGATTGGGAATCTGTCGAACTTTTATATATATCTGTTATCCCCGTGTCGCTTAGGGATATTGGACGTATTTGGTTTTGAATCGTTCAACCAGAACGGTATAGAACAACTTTGCGTCAATTATGCTAACGAGAGAATGCAACAGTACTTTATAAAAACATATTTAGAAAATAGTCGGAAAGATTTAGAAAACGAAGGTTTCATAGAAATTAGTAGACCGATACATACTATCAGATTGTACAAGGAACGTTTAACTGTCCTCGAAGAAGGTTTATTCATGACCCTCAACGACGTATGTAACAAAGTTACATTTCATTTTACGTGGTACCAGCAATCAGTATCAAATTATTCTCTTTCAAATTATAGGCTTGTCAATCACCGATACCAATTAACACGCCTACAGTAACGCAGCTAGTATGCCAGAAATCAAGGAATAAATTTTTAAGGGAAGAAGAGGGGCATTTCATCATAGAACATTATTCTGGCTCCGTCGCATATTCCATCAGAGATTTATTAGTTAAAAATACTGATAAGGTATCGGATATATATTATACAATTTGATGGTAACGCTACGAGTAATTTAATTCTTCTTTGCAGGTTCCAAGCGAGATATCTGTGATTTTCCAAGAAAGTAAGAACACGTTCCTTGCCTCTTTAATCGACATCGAGGAAGATAAACATTCACAGATTATTAAAACGTCTACCAAGAAAAAGACTATGTTAGCTAAATTGAAGTATAATATAGATACTCTTATCAAAGATCTGAGTAAATGTGATTCGCACTATGTGCGATGCGTCAAACCTAGGTAGATTATACTTTCATCAGAAACCATAATTGTTAAATATTTTCAGTTGCCGATAAATGATTTTTTTCCAGTCGATTGAGCAACCACGAATGGGACAAGAAAGACTTTAGAAAGCAACTGGCTTGCATCGGTATTTTTGATGCTTTGCCTCTTGCCAAATGTAAATATCCTATTCGATTGCAGTATAAAGAGTTTTGTCAACGTTACTCCAAGAGACCTACAGGTAACTTACAGAAATACTTGCTCGTTTCACACATAAGAATGAAAATATTTCTTGCCAGAAATTACCGATATCAATAAGTGCCAATCGATTCTGGAGTCAGTTATACGTAAAAAGGACCTACACGCATCGGTTCATTACGGAAAACAGTTGATCTTTTTAACGGAGCCCGTCTTCTCGAAACTAGAACTTTACAGGAGAAATTATCGTACAAAATGTGCTAATAAGATAAAAATATTTTGGAGAAGGTACAGTAAAGTACAAAGCAGACACACGGCGCACTTGGAGATCATGCTCGGGCGTAAATTTGAAAAATCATGCAACAACGGAGAGAGTGATGACGTTTTTATAATCGATTCGATTCCATTGAAAAACAATAGTTCAACTGACGCAGTTTGCGTGATCGAAAACGAAAATAACGATCGATTCGAAGACGTGCACGTCGGGAATTGTTTGAACAACGATGTTACGAAATCTATAGAACAGATCGATCCAGATAATTTCTCAAAAGATTCTATAGGCTACTGTAAGCGTAAGGACAATGTAAACGTTGATTGTGCCGATGACAACAACAATTCCTTAATGCAGCATTCCGGAGATACAGCGTCGAACAAGTTTTCGATAAACATAAGACTTGCGGTGAACAGTGACGAACAATCACGTTCTATTTATAATACGGTTCGTATTTCTATTTTTATATTTCGTACGATAATCGCAATATTCGAAAATACGGTATTTTTAGGAGAAGAATGTATGCATCGTTCGATTGAATTCTCGTGTATTCTTTTATAAAAATGGAATTTTGAGCTGTCGTCGACTTCCTACGGTAAGTGTTTCGAAACTGCAACAGGGATATACAAAATAATACTGATCTTTCCGACAATAGGCGCCAATCAGGATACACACACGTGCTACGTGTTTGAGTAATTCGCACATACTACCACGTTCCGAGTTACCGCAAGGACTGCAGGACAGTCTTTGAAACGCAAATCACTTAGATCGACGAGGTCAGTTATTACTTCAGTCTTTTATCGATCTTTTAATAAACATTTTCTTGTTGTATTTTTATACCGATCTACAGGAAATTTTGTTACAAAAACGTAGTACTATTATAAGTAGGATCATAAATAACGAAATTTAAACGCTCTATGTACATGCATTAATATACAAACGCGGATACAGCGTTTTCTCGCGTCAACGAGAGGGGTAATATCATTGTTTTTTTAAATAAAGACAAAACTAAAAAAGAAAACAAAATTTCGTTCCTATGGAAACTACCAAGTCCGAAAGTGAAACGAAATGGGTGAATCGAGGACTCTTTGTATTTAAATCGCGCGTCGTTCGTAAAACTTTGTTCACCGAGCATGAAATTTACAAACAACCGTATACCAGATCGTACATATCACATGGCCTTTTCCTTCTATCTTTTAGTACCAGCAGTCTCCGCGACGCGACAAGCGCAAGAGTTGCCTGAAGGTCGCTTCTTAAAATTTGATAATTGGCCCTCAAACTGACTCGTCTTAAATTGCTCGGAGGTACGGGTCGTCCACCAGCGAATGCAAACCTAATTGTACCAGAGAAAATACTTCGATCAGTCGATTGCATATTTGCCAACGATCGATGTATTAGAAGCACACAAAAGTTTCCATGGTGACTTTTGCTCTAATACATTGCGTTATTTATTCGCTCACCTAATCTCTCGTCTGGGACCTCTCAAAGTAGAGTCTGGAAACGCTGACTGGCGATCCCATAACATTCGACTAGCTGCTATTGGTCTGACGTTAACGTACTTCACTTTACTTTTGATGATGATAGGAAGAGAAGTAGGCTTTCTAAATGCGTTCACTGCGCTCTTGTAATGGGCGGGCAGATACGGCAACAAAGAGTCTCCGTAATGTTCCATAAGAACCGCGATATTCAAGGTGTGAGACTGTGACTTCATGAGGGCACAGATAGCAAGCTGAAAATTAACGAGAACATTAATAACGACACTCTGCATTGAAATTATCAAAATAGCAATGAAAAATGAAAGATCTTGTTTTATGTTTACTTACAGCTATCCTTTGCCAAAGAGCAGAGCCCGGTGGCGCGTGTATTAGAACATTCTCCACGGAAAGCGCGGATTCTGCTTCGTGTTGAAAAAATATTAACGGCTGAACGCTCGCCAGCAGTTCCATGGCCGTGGTCTTTTTCTTGCTTCCAACGATGTTTTCTTTCTCTTCCTTCGATAGAACATTTTCCAGCGTCGGGATATACCTTTCAACGGTTACAATTATTTCTTACCGGTACGCGCTGATCGAGGTTATGTTTAACCGTGAAAATATTAGGTTTTCTCGTAAGTTCATGCCCGTAGGTGCATTTATGTTTCTCACGTTGTATTCAACAAACTTGGTAGCTAAATAAAGCAGAGCCTATGTGCAATTACTTACGACTCAACCTAATATTTACGTGATTTTGTTCAGGTAACGCGCTCTGTATATTTACTTATCAGCGACGGACGGCCAGCGAAGCATCAATTTCAGAGCGCATTCTTTGAACAGTGCTTCCAGATTTTGATTGATAAAACTCTGCCCAAGAAGCAGCTCCAACAGTAACTCGGTTAATTTGTCAACCTGTAATGAAAAATATTGTACGCCTCGAAACGATTCGATACTTGCGTAGAGTCGGCCCCTGGAATCCACGTGATCTTACTGCAGAGTATTACCGAAGTTAGGTGATACGGATAAACTGCTTCACTGTTACTTGCTATTGCAATGATAAGCTGGCAGGTTCGCGTGGACACACGGGTGTATTGCGCGTTGTTCGAGATCACCATGGACCTGGCTATAGACATCAATTTGTCTATAACACCCTCGCCGCCCAAATGTGCGTTTGTCGCGCAATCGTTGATCAAGACCTACAAATATATTCTGTAACACTTCAAACAGATCACCGCTAGATTACCATACTTGGAAAGTCTTTTGAGATCCGTTGAACAGAGTCTTCAACGCGCGTTTCGCGTAATTGTTGCGTGCCTCCGCCAGCCTCGCGTCGCATATTTCCGATTCTACGTGAAACAAAACAGTTACATTATCGAGAGATTGCGAATAATATTATTTGACTGTACCTTGAATAAAAGGTACGTTGTTTTGCGATATACTGAGCGGATCGTTTATTGCTTGTACTAAATTAATGATACATTCGTTGGGAACGAATACTCTCGCCTCCGGGTGATATTCTGGCAAAAACTCTGGCGCCCCCAATATTGGATCCACGTCGCACAGATTGGTGATCACAGCATTCACGTCCATAGACGTTAAACGTTTCCTCTTGCTATGTTTCAGTCTCGTCACGCATTTCTAAAAACACGATTTGTTCACTTGTACACGTTTTTTTTTATTCACACGTTTCAAACTTCACAAAGTTCGCCACGTATTACTACGCTACTTTGATAGTTAACGTGTTCACTGTCTGATCTCTCGGTGGCGTATCCAATAGCATGTATACGGGTCACAGACAGTGAACGTGTTAAAATGCAAATTATCTTCCGAACGATGCATAATAGCAATTTTTAACAAGATATCATTTCGATTGGAAATTACCTCTACTAATTAAATATGGGAAGAAATGATGTATACGTGCAGAATGAAGTTCTTAAATGTTAGTTAAATCATTGCACGCAAAGATGAGATGGTATATAAAAGAAACTGATACATTTAATAATGGATTCATATAGTCTAAAGTTGTAACGAGAAGCATGGTGCAGAGTCACATTAAATATATGCAAGATCGGTTGGAATCGGTCATTCTGATTAAAGTCTCAGTAGAAACTCGGAGTAATAGTAAAAAGCAGTTGCAAGATCCATGTTATTCCCTATCATTTTCATTATACCAGTCGAAAACCAAATTTAGAGTATACCAGAACAAATCGCAGCTGTTATAGTTCCTATAAGCTGACGGACAAAATGTTAGATTTAAGTAATCAACATTTTGCTCTTCGCCGTATCTATGAAGACACAAACGTTGGCACAACCATGCATCTATGGGTTGACGTTGCATGACAATTACGCTTACATGTAGAACTTCTCTGAGACGGTACGAGGCATCTTCTGCCAATCTTCGCAATAAAGAATCGGGCAGAGGATGCATTCCCAGCTCTTCTCCAATCGCAGATATCCAATCGGTACTGAGCACTGCATATCTCCTCGAGTTATTGTCGGTTGTATTGTTGCTATTGGTGTCCCCATTATTATTAACAAAAGAGTTACTGTATCCAGAGGTAGCTTGATTCGTCAACATTTCTTTCATGATTTCACCTATTTTCTTCGCGACAACTACACGCAATTACAGTAGCATTAACTTTCGGTCGTCGACGAATATTTTAATTTGCATTTTCTCCGTCGCGTTTGAAAACCATACTTTTGCACAGATCAATCAGTCAGTTACGTTCACGCGTGACAGTACACGACGATAAAAAAAAACACACACACGCACACGCGTGAAATAAATTTTCTTCGTTTACAATGTTTTTAAAAGCAATATGGCCGACGCGATGTAAATTACATTCTTTTTATGATCGCCTCGTGCGTTAAAAGTGTCAGTAAAAACGAATGAAAACCGATCGCGTGTCGTAGCGAATTTACTTAAACGCAACTGTAACATTTAAACCGTTCCGCTGTACTGTAACTGTCAAAAACACATTGGTAGATCGTGTCGGTATCAACAGCATGATTGTTCTGACTGTAACACGAAGTATAGGATAGTCTATTCGATAGACCTTTCGTTTTATGGAACTTCGTGTCACACGCACTGAAGTACCGACCTGATAAAAAAATCAGTGGCTTTATCTTACCTTCTGTCGGTGTTTCAGACGTGTTTATCGATACTGTTACAATTTTACACGAAATGAACTTCACGTCGTAGGCCCCCGGTGATAGTTATTATTTATCTACACCAATCTATAACGGTTCAGTGTACTCTGGTGCGATCTGGTGCACTCTTGTTCGCAGCCTTTTATCCGCTTATCTATTCTTTCGTCTTCCAAATTTTTTAATTTATTTCTACTAATTTTAAGGTACGTGCAATTTTATTTGGTTCATTGTATCTTTTTTTTAGCGAAAAATTTTGCATATTTGATCTGAAAGTCAAAGTTTAATGCCACCTTGTAATGACATTCGCGTGATACGAATGAGTCGGAAATTATTAATAAAAAGGGATTATCGTGCGATGATTGTCGTTAACATTTTCGTTCCATCGAATCTAGAAAATATGAAAAAGTAGTTTCATGCAGAATATTTAGCAGTCGTTCATTTTGAATCGATCTCGACTTATATTCGACGTAACTTAACCGTCGCTTGTAATATAAACGTACTTTCGTGTTACACTGTACAACCCTTTTCTCTAGGTTTGTTATTTAATTTATCATTCTAAGAATGTCGACTCCGTGGGCAAAAATCCAGCCTGTAGAAGGATCCGTTAGTTTATTGGAGATCACTTCGGAACAGCTTGCCAACAGTTTGCAAGAAAAGTAAACAACGAAGAATTAATTTTTGTACTTTCATTCAGCTCTAACGACGAAAATTAAATATGTATTATGATCGTTTATAGAGAATTAAGGAAGTGTCAAACAGAAGTGGTGCAAGATGTAAATATTGATGATTGCACAATATTTGAAACCAATGACACTGACAGCGACGAAGTGATTGCACATATGTTGCAAGACCAATATAACAAGCAGCATGATTTGATGTTAACACGCACAGAACGAAAATTCAATCGTGACTCCAAAGGTAAGAATAATTTCGAATTATTTCTCTGGTAAATCTGAATTTTTAATATTGTTTGTAGTTAATGTTACTTATACAAACTATCGAACATCTTTGTCAAATGATCATGACGATAAAGATAATACAGATGTCGAAGACACAACAAAGGATTTTGATCGATTTGTAGTGAGCACTGCATAGCGTATAATAACACAGAAATTTTTTTACTTAAACGCGTTATTAACGATACGTTTAATATTTTTTAGAGTATAGAAAAGGAGTATGCTTCTATTCCTCGTTGCGGATACAAGAGGCAGGGTGAAGGATCGCAGATCGTCACAAAACACGATATGCAGATGTGTTCGAGAATAAACGCGTGTAGAGTCTTACAGTTCCCTCCTGGTATCGATACAGGAGATACCGAAGGATTCGATGTCAAATTGAACAACAAAGTGTTCAACGGCTTACGGGCACACAGCCACGCTCAATGTTCCAAGCAAAAAGCCAAAGCACGGCTGCATACAAAATAAAATATCTTGTATGTGTAAATACATCCATGTAATGTTCATAAATTTGTTCAATACATCGTACTATGTTCAAGGTTTTTATAACTGTTATCTTCGATGCAAGTTAAATTAGGAAGAAGTATACAGGGTTCTTTTTGCCATACGCTAAGTACTTAATCTCAAAGAGATAATTAGTATTAGACGTTTTGAGATACAATAATTTTTGACATTGAAAAGTTAATCGAGGCCGATGGCACACGAGCGTTTCTATGTTCTTCGTTTTTTCAATTGTAAAAGAAGGAAAAACATAGAAACGCACGTAGCTTCGATGCTCGTGTGCGTCTGAATGCTGCAAAAATGTGAGCATTATTATGGTGTAATATGGAACTTAAAAAATAAACAACTAAAATGAGTATATTCAATTAATAACTTACTCGACGTTTATACCTCCTAATTTTTTTTAATCAACTTCCTGTAACGCGCGTGTGAACTTTTAAAGAAAGCCGACGTTAGGGAAGAATTTGGACCGAAGGAAATATAGTAACAAGAACGATACTCCGGAGCACTTAGTGTAATATATATTTATCAGTTTAAATCTACATTACTTACAAATATTTACAAAATAACTGTGGAATTTCCATTATATGTACAATAATATTTAATTAAAAATTGTAGTTTGGTGATTCTATAACTCGAAGAAGCTGCATCGAAAAAATAACATTCGATAAACTCACGTTTATCAAGACTGTTTATTAGTTTTGAGGCATAGTGTACATTCATAAATTCTGTAACAGAATTTATGACCCACCTTCCCTAATGATGACTTGTACAACAGAATTGTAGATGGCTCTTTTCATTAACAGATTGCCTGGTTCTTTTTGTTCTTTTGCACCGCGTTTGTTGATAGTAATTTCATTTGACGATTGTTGTATGCAACCAGCATAGTGTTGATCTATAGGAAAAGTAAAATGAGTGGATTGAAAACAAATAAGGCTTCTAAATTGTTTACCATGTTCTTCAATGAAGAAACGGTTTCCTGTAGACGTTTTACTTTCTGTTTCAAAACTTTATTGGACCTGCGTGTTTTACGTAAAGCTTCGTGCATAGCAAATATTTTCCTTTCATAATTTACAGGCATACGACTATAGCTATGATCACACCTGACCATGTCTATGAATTGTTCGTGTAGCCTTATAATCTTGGTGCTTGTACACAGTGTATCTGGTAAATGTATTTGAAAACCTATGAATTTTAAGATAATATCAAATATCATATAAAGCAATTTGATTGATACAAATGTCAAATACAAATAGAATACATACTTTTTTTAGGATTATGAAGCTTCTTACGAGGTGATTTAACAATTACTTCAGGCAAAGGTGCAGCTTCATGCTGATGTTGCATGATAATATTTTTGCTTACTATTTCTGGTATATGTAATTGGAAACCTATGAATTTTAAAGCAACTCCAATTACCTTATCGAGTAATTAAATTCAGAAAAAAATTAAATAAAATTTGAATAGTACATACTTTCCGTAGAACTGTGAAGGTCATGAGACGATGGAATGATTATTTTGGACTCGGATACGGACAAAGGTCTATCTTCGCTGGATCTATAGTTTTCTTCCATAAACAGAGTTGGCACGCTACTTTTCTTTAACCTGACACGAACGTAGTTCTGTTCAAAACACTCTGGTGTAAAATGCTTCGAGCACAAAACAGAGTTAGCCGTGGGAACATAGTTTTCTATGCCAATATTTACGAGCCACTGATGTAATATTTTCGCATCCTTTGGAAATCTAAACAACATAGTGTTCAATTACAATACACAACTTACGCAAAACAAGTTGGTATTAATCTACTTACGTTGGTGCTGACATAAGGATAAATCGATATAAAAGATTTACAGGTAACGAAAGGAATTAACCGATACACACCTGTGAAAGGATAATCCACGCACAGTTTTTGGCCTTTTACAAATTACACATCTAGCCATTTTTGTGTACTTTGCGAAACAAAAACCAGCTTCCCCTCGTCACGTATACACCACAATACTCCGCAGACTTCATATTCCCCTCTCATTACGACATGGTGTAAGAGAGAAGGGAGGAGGTACGACTCCACAGTGTAGAGTCGAGGGAGAAGGTAAACGCGAGGCGAGCCTTTCTCTCTCGGCTCTCACGAGACGATCCGAAGCGCGACCGCGCTCGCTTCGGGTAACTTCGGAAAGGGAGGAGGTACGACTCCACTATAGTGTAGAGTCGAGGGAGAAGGTAAACGCTAGGCGAGCCTTTCTCTCTCGGCTCTCACGAGACGATCCGAAGCGCGACCGCGCTCGCTTCGGGTAACTTCGGAAAGGGAGGAGGTACGACTCCACTATAGTGTAGAGTCGAGGGAGAAGGTAAACGCTAGGTGAGCCTTTCTCTCTCGGCTCTCACGAGACGATCCGAAGCGCGACCGCGCTCGCTTCGGCTAACTTCGGCAAGTCGAGAAAGATAGATCGGCGCTTGCCCTCTCTCTCGACTCCCCGAGACTCTACGAGCTCACGTACACGCGTTCGGGCTAAGTGTGGGAAAGTGGAACGGGAAATTCCTGATGCCCTCGGTGCGCGGTCTGGTAACGCTGGTATAATTCATGCCAAGGCGGAGACGAGCGCTCCGTAGGTGTGTGATGTGGTTCAATTTAGAGACTTCCTCGATCGTTGCTCAGGGATATCTAGAGATCGTGCACGAAACCTATGCCGGGAATAATAGTGGAAGCGTAAACGACTTATTAATATCGCTGGTATCGCGAAGACGATCGTAACACAACGGGAGTGCCGGTGAACGAGTAGTGTTGTTTGGTGATCAATGAACTCTGCGTTGCTGTATGTTTGGGGCGTGCTGCCACTGGTACCTATTAAGCCGGCAAACGTACGTACGGCATAATATATATATGTATACGTGCATATGCATATATATATATATTATTTTTTTAACGTTTCGTAATACAGTTTAGCCGATTCTTTACTTTCAAAGGTGCGATATAGCCCCGCCTTCTTTCACTCGAATCCACTCGTTCGTTCATTATACTCAGGATGATTTTCACGACCGTCTCGAATTTCTGGCGTTTCCTTGGAACGATCGTTTCTGGTCTGCTTATTTCCACGGGCCCGATGCTCCGTGTTAGAAATTCTGTCGAATGATAGGGCTAACGAGGTGAACGCTTAACGGTACCCATCTCCTGCATTCGAGATTTCAAGATCGTTCATTGATCGACAAATCAACACTTTCAACCCTTTTGACCGCAGCCAATCTCCTAACATATTTCATTAGTACTGTTCGATCGGTAGTGTAATCGGTATAATCGTAGCCTTGACGTAACCGCTCGTGCGGAGTCTCCTCTTAAAGATACGCCAAGAGTGGTCCGTACGAATGATAAGTAACGCTTTGCACGTAATATCATATCGTAATGAATGATGTAAACAAATGCGGGTGATAATGTTTTTTTCTTTAATATGTAATACGATAAATAGCTCAATCACTCGTCGTTTATATAATCCTTGTCATTGGCTTATTTTCCATATTCATGGGTACGCTTGTTTCGTTCTAATTATTCTATAAAATTTTCTCTGCTACCAATTGAGAACTTTACGCGACGAGATGTACTGCGATCTGTACGGCATTCACGATACGTGCTACATAGATGCGTTATAGTTTCAGACCACGAGGATTAAAAACACTTTGCGCGTTACACGAGCGAATACGTTTCATTGTTTAACCTTCTTTTATCGTGTCAACAGAAACGTGAAATTAATATAGAAATTATTTAAATTCGAGTGCAATAATTATTTTCATGCGAAAGTAAGGGTATTATTATGAACCTGGATACCCTTCGTGCTCTGTTACAGATGACAACGTAATAAAGAATTATAAATAAAATTTTTAATAAGAAAAATATTAGCGGTCGTTCTATGGTTTGAAGTAGATGACTGAAGATGAACGATATAGAAAGCATAAGCATGAAAGGCACCGGGGGATCTAAAATGCCTCACAGTCATTCGACTCCTGCAGGTGTGGATGGAGGTAGTAGAACTCCTCCCACGACACCTAGGAAAGCTGGAAAAATGCTTGCCGTTCGTGTACAAATGTTGGACGATACGATTACAATGTTTCAAGTTCAGGTAAAGACTAATTGCAATACTTTTAAGCAAACGCTAAACTTATTCAATGCGTATGAATATGCGACTTGATATCAGAATTATAAATTTCTTTAGTTTGGATACAAAGTTGTATACTTTACCGTATGATATATGTAACATTAAAAGTAATAAAATTTTATTCCAAAGTTATGTATGGTTATTTGTAATACATATTTTTGCAACAGTTAATATAAATATAACCATCTTTTTAAATGTGTATATATGTCGGACGAGCACCTCGACACATTAGCTTAATTCTATAATGGGAAGTAATTGACTGTACTTCTACAATAGCGTGTATAACAAGCACAGATGAATATAACAAACAGAAACCAATTTCATATGATATATTGAGACAGTATAGTACATAAAGAGTCATTGACCATCAAATTTTTTATGCACTTTTTGAAATGTCCTTTCAGTAAAAGTTTTTATTTAATAAGATTAGAAGAAATTTATCAGTGTGAATATCATACAAAAGAAAATAGGCACGATCGGTATTATAAAATAATGTAAAGAAAGTTTTAAGTATTTAATGTACAAAGTATCTGATTTACATGATAAACTCGTTTAATGTATAATGTGCACGCATATAACACTTTCAAATGAACTATTGGAGCACATAATTGGTTATACTATATTGCACGAAGCACGTGTATCGATGTATTGATTATTCATAAAACCTTACTTGGGGCATATCAAACACATTTTCACTTACGTTAGAAAGTATTTTAATATGCAATGAGCGTACATGCATTACAATGTACCAATGCATTACTTTTTATGCTAAAATAATACGATTATTATTATGTGAACAATGAAATTATTATTGGTACGTATTTAAATTTTAGGCAAAAGCATTGGGCAGGGTGTTGTTTGACCAAGTTTGCAAACAGCTGCATCTTTTGGAAGCTGATTATTTTGGTCTCGAATATCAGGAACCTAATGGAACGAAAGTAAATACACAAAAATTGATCTACGTTGTCAAGAATTCTGTTTATCGTTTCGTACTAAACCGTGATTTTTCATTGCAGTATTGGTTAGATTTAGAGAAGCCTGTTTGTAGACAAGTCGGATTGTCGTTAATCGATCCTCTTTTGAGATTCTGTGTGAAATTTTATACACCCGATCCAGCACAATTGGAAGAGGAGTTTACTAGATATTTATTCTGTCTTCAAATCAAACGAGATTTAGCTCAAGGTTTATTGCAATGTAACGATAATACAGCAGCTTTGATGGCCAGCTACATTGTCCAGGGTAAGCTAATCGTAATTTTATGTGCGGCGATAATAACTTATTTTCATGGAAGGACAGTCTAAACATAATTAAATAGCAGAATGAAGAAATCACGATTGACTCTTTCAGCCGAATGTGGGGATTATGTAATAGAGGATTACCCGGATCACACTTATTTGTCGACTTACAAATTTGTGCCTCATCAAGATCAAGAATTAGAACGACGCATTATGGAAAATCATAAAAAACACGCGTAAGATGCTCTTTGATTGGTTTCGTTCAGGAACGGGATTGCGATTGAGTTCGTTGAAAATTTTTTACTTTTTTAAACAGAGGTCAATCACCGGCAGAAGCGGACCTCAATCTCTTAGAGACAGCACGTCGTTGCGAGTTGTACGGAATGAAAATGCATCCGGCGAAAGTAAGTACTGCAAAATAAAAATTTCGTACCCTTGCAAATAAGGATTCCAAAACATTGAGTACCGATTGTTTGTTCAAGGACCACGAGGCTGTACCCCTGAATTTGGCAGTGGCGCACATGGGGATTGTAGTTTTTCAAAATTTCACCAAGATAAACACATTCAGTTGGGCGAAGATTCGGAAAATCAGTTTCAAAAGGAAGCGATTTTTAATCAAACTTCATCCAGAGGGTTACGTGAGTATATTCTCGAATAATTGTCGCAACGAATCCGAGCAATTGAATTCGACGACTGATCGTTCCAAATCGTTTCAGGGTTACTACAAGGACACCGTTGAGTTCTTCTTCGAGGGTCGCAACGAGTGCAAAAATTTCTGGAAGAAGTGCGTGGAGAATCACGGATTTTTCCGTTGTTCGGTGGTGAAACGAGTGGTGCGACAGAAAACGCGGGTTCTTAGCCGTGGCTCGTCCTTTAGGTACGTAGCTACGCGGTAGAAACATTTGGAAATTTGTATCGATTTAACCGGTTAATGAAATTTAATTCGTCTGTCTTCTGTGTTGCCCAGGTATAGCGGGAAAACTCAAAAGCAAATCGTCGAGTTCGTGCGGGACAATTACGTAAAGAGGCAGACGTTTCAAAGGTAAGCTGAATCAGTGATGCGAGATGTCGTTTGATAATTGAACGAACTCTTGGATATATCAGTAATGTGTAGATAGTGCATGCGTACCGTTATGTACTGTCCCCCTTTAATGCTGGTTTTATACCATTGAGATATATTTTAATTAACGAGCGCACTGATCTTGCGTGGGTAAGACGGGAGGTGGCACGGTCTTGCTTTTGCCGGGACACTAATTGGTATTTATCGTCGTTGCTCCAATTTACGTAGAACGAAGTGTTTTCTCACTCTCTGTACGTTTTGTACTTCCGTTTGTCAGTGTTGCCTGCTCGGACAGGGGTGGCGGGGAGTCAGGCTCACCATCAGGCACGATAACCCGAATGATCAATGTACCCTATTTTTGATAGTGTGGTCACTAATTCTCGTCATTGTAACACCTCTAACGACACAACTGCAAATTACCATACATCACTATCCCGACAGTTTGTTTGCCAACGAGATATATACATATACTTGTCCAATAGCAGTAGCCTGCTCTACGATAGAAAATAGATTATTTTCCTTACGAAAATTTCATCCTTGTACATACAGTGAACAGATTTATACGATTACATGGCAATATCCGTGTTCAATGAAATAACGTTACTGATGATGTGTTGGTAGAACAGAAAGCATCGTGATTCGCAGATAGATTCGACACACAGATACACCCACACCCACACACACCTCGATTGGCTAGCTCCGTGTGCGTGCGTGTGAAACTAGCATGCGCAGATAACCAACACTCCGTGCATCAATTATTGTTCACGCGTAATACTGCTATTAATTCAGGAGAAAATTTTGCCGTCGAGAATTTATATTCAATCGAGAACGAAAAGTATTACTATAAATAAAATGTAGAGAAAAAGTCCAGATAAAATTCAGGAAATAGCGGAGAGGATCGTTAACTGTCGATACGGTGCTTTTTGTCTGAAAGATAGTTTCTTTTCTTTTTTTTTTACAGTTACTTGTCGATATTATTTATTTAGACTCGTATCTTTTTCACTTGACGTACACTCAGTGGCACGGATTCGTTCCATCGTAAGGGCAAGTGGCTCGTTCACGATACCCCTTCCTCTTCGTGGCTTGCTTCTTGATCTCGTACTTGACGGCTGCGCGACATAGGTGCGCAGAATCATTGTGTCGCTGATCTCGGAACGGAGCGATTGTCTCTTACCTCCCGAAACAGCAACTTGTGCGCGATGAGTCAGGGACGCTCGAATCTTTTTAAAAAGATCGATTACTAGATAAGTAATCTCGTAAACATTCGAAAAATTAATTAGGAATGTTGAACAAAAAAAAAAACATGTAGATGCCTCGGCAAAAATATTTGTTTTTATGACAAAAAGAGGAACGAAAGAAAAATAATAAAATAATCTTTTAGTTCTTCGTGAGTCTGCATGTTCTAATACGTTTCACATATTTCTATGTACTCTGTGTCTTATATGTATACAACGAAATAATATAGAACTTTCTATCGGAATATACATTTCTGTGCATTATGCATATTTTTCTTTTGTCTCTTCTAATGTATTTTGTGTACTCCAATATATTAAATATATATCATGTATTTGTGTATGTAACACTCGTATAAAATATATCGGAACGATGGTTGTTAATAGACCGGACGGTAACATACATTGATCGGTAATATTATGTAAAATTTTTAAATGTCGTCGAGCCACTGACGGACCATTGTCATTTTATAGTTGATGTAATTTGTCGCGTGGAAGTCATATGTTTCGGGAGGTCAGTTCGTCACGCGATCAACGACATAATGATTCTGCGCATCTGTGACGCGCAGCCATTAAACGCCTTAATGCACACGGCCGTGAAGCGTACCACGAAGGAGAAGGGATATCGCGAGCCAAAGCCACTGGCTGTCCCAAGTATGACTAGGGATGGGATCAAGTTCAATTAGTACTCACGAATTCGAGTCAGTACTAATACAGGGTGGCGTATTTTTTGAGGAACCGAACCTCGACAACGTTGCTCGACAAAGAAAGAGAATACAGCGACGGCCAAAAAAGAGACTCGGCAAAAAAAAAAAAATAATCTACGCGTGTCTCGTCCCCTTTCGTTTTACCGATTCTCTTTCCCTCTCTGACGTGTCAGGTTTCGTCGAGCTCGCGTTTAGTTAACCGTCCATTGCTGTACCAAGTTCGCCAACGATGTTTCGTTACTCTCGTTTCTCGAAATACTTACAGACGGTTCGAATCCATCTTAGGTTTTAGTCTACTTGGAAATACTGATTTTGTTTCCCAAACTACTTATAAAGGGTTTGAATTAAGCGAGTCGAGATCGAAACCTGCTCAGAAGATGCTTGATCCCATTACTACCTACCGCGCGATGAATTCGTGTCCGTTGCGCGTGCGATGTGTTCCTTATTGTTTCGCGGACACGATTAATTACTCAATCGTTGTTTCGTTCCGCTGCGATTGAATATCAACTACGGGGGCCATTGTTTGATTTGTTTTTTCTCGTCGTCGAAGTATCAGCGATGCGCGCGCCCTCGCACTTCTCGGTATTCGTAACCGGATCTGAACGGGACGCAACGGTCCGCGTCGGTAAATTTAAAATTAAGAGACAACCGTCGAGGCGACAATGATAATATCGAGCGCAGTGAAATAGCTACCGTCCAACGAGAGACAATGGTAGAGTAGGAAAGGAAGATAAGAAAAAAGTATAAGTTGGTTCTGATACAGGCTTGGCATTTGGTAGCCTAAGTCTGATGCTGAACTTGACTCTCTCTTGCTCGCAGGTCCAATTCGTTCCGGCAGACTAGCGGTGGTAGGGCATTGCAGGGCTTGGAGGGGGGAGGCTATCGTGGGGCCACTCCAAGCAGCTCCCTTATGGGCAGCTCCAGCATCTCTGCCCACCCCCTCCTGCCCCTCGGCGATCCTGGTATGTACACCATGACCGACACCAACCTCCACGAGAAAAAAACGCTTTCTTTTTCGTACCCCTCGCTCTCTATCTCTGTCTATCTATCTATCTATCTATCTGTCTAATTTATATCTTTGCCTCTGTTTCTCGAATCAGTTTGTCACTTAACTATCTCCTTCATTTATCTCGTTCGAGTTTCCGCTCTGTTGTTTCCGTTCTCTGTCTTTATTCTTTAGCGTTACATTTCGTTTAAAAGTAATCGTACATGAAGAGTATATCGCAAGCCGTAGAGTAGCATTAGCGTAATTACAAACTTAGATACGCTTCTATAAACGATTGTTTCGAATTCAGCTTGATCACGTTTCACGGAAAGTTCCAACGCAAAAACGTAATCTCGAGTTGCGCGTATACTTCGACAAGTTAAATCGGTCCATTGGGGGGGTTGGGAAATATCCGGTCCACTCTTCCGTATTCTTGCTTCTTTCAACCTCCTGTGTGTATAATATATTCAAATTAGGAAATTTAAATAAATTAAAAAATTCAAAATTAAATATTTTTGTGGGCTAGACTATAGGCTTAGATCGATCCCTACCCTCTTAGACTTACTCTTCCCCCCTCCTCTAGACTCGAATTACTCCTCGAGGTATCTTGTTAAACTTGTCGAGCTATACTCGGTGATCGATCAATTCGAGAGAAAGAGAAAAAGTAACGGGAACCGAAGGAACTTGCGTCGGTCCAAGCGACACCGTGAACGGGAATAGGACGAACGGGGGTGTCTAAGGAAGCGTTTAACAATTTCAGCCCTGGAAACCCCAGCTCTGTCTCTGTCATGCGGCTCGATGACACTGGATTCTCCGACGACTGTGACGAGTGTCTCGATGGGAGGGACGATTCACCGTCGCGAAGACACAGCTACGTCGTTTCGGACACTTACCTCCATCGACGTCCATTCGCCGGCCACGCCCAGCCAGGTCCCAGCGCCACGGCAGATGCTTGTTACCAGCCAGCAACGGATTTCAACAGCAGGTCGTATCAGCCCCTCTAACAGCAGTCCTCCTGAATTCCCACCACCGCGACCCATACCCAGACATCCCTGGCAGCGATCGGCCAGCTGCCGCGAACTGTACGCTTCTAGTTTCGAGGATTCGGGGAAAGCGCGATCAAAGGACGAGAAACCATCCGGTGATTCCGTATTGTTAGAGCCGTTCCGGTTGCCGTCGCAGGGCGAGCTGGACAATCCCGTGACGCGTTACGACGAGAGCAATCGGTCGTACAGCGCCGCCAGCTCGAAGCTGCCCTCGCTGGATCACGACTCGGTGCCCGAGCGCGTATACAGCAGCTCTTATCCGGGCACCTCGTCGTTGTCCACCGAGTCGGGCCACGAGGAGTCCGGCCAGGCGGGCGATTTGTCGCACGACGATCTCTCGCACGATTCCTACGAGCTTCTCGAGCGCGAGCACGAATTCGAGTATCCCGAGTCGTATTCAAGCCCCCGCGACGACGACGACGACGACGACGACGATGACGATGAGAACGAGCCGATCTCGGACCGTAGCGACGAAGGAATCGAGCACGAGATGTTCCAGATGGACTCCGAGACCGATTCCTTCGTCAAGCACAGATCGATCAAGTCGTCGGACAAACAGCAGTTCAAGTCCGTGCTGGCGGATTTGAAGAACGCCGCGAGAACGAAATCCATCGATCGGTACTCGGCAGCGCCCCCTAAGCCGGACGGCGATTACGTGACCGTCGAGTCTAGAATACAGCGATCGAGCACGCAGATCGAACGGAAGTTCGAGACGCGTCACGCGAACTCCGTCGAGCTGCCCGCGCAACCGACCGGGAACAAGCTGTTGCCCCTCCCCCATCAGGATTCCGCGCGCAAGGACCCGGTCGTGTTGCAGGTGCAGAAGCAAAAGATGTCGGTGTTGAACGAATTGAGAAACCTTAAGCCCAAACATAAAATCACGCACGTAGATTCGGAGGTGTTGCGCGACGAGGGCATAATGCGCCCGAAGTCGCGCATAGACGACGATCTGAGCCCCGTGGACTCCACCAATCGTACGATACTCGACCAGAGGGCGCGCAACGTTCGGGTGCGCAGCATCGCGAGCCTCGAGGAACACCACGCGCCGCGCGCCTACGTCGAGACCGGTAGCTTGGGTCGCGGTTTTAAGAGCAGGGATAAAAAGTTACGCGAGAGCGACGCGAAGCTCGAGAGAACGTTGTCGAAGCTGCAAGACAAGGATCGAAGGAGCGTGGAACGCGAGGAGAGGAAACGAATCGAAAGAGATTACTCGAGGGACTACGGGAAGAAAATGGAGAAGAGCGACTCGAGGGAGCGGAGGGACGGTCACGGTAGACGCAGCATAGACCGCGCCGATTTGCGGGAACTGAGGAGAAGCATCGAACGGTTGGACGTTCGAGAGAGAAGCTACGAGCGCCACGGCGATCCGCACGAGCTGCGCCGCAAGAGCTTCGAGCGTTTGGACTCGCAGGCTCTGCGCGGCAGCACCGAGCATCTGAACAGAAGCCCGAAGGAGCGCGGCCATCGACGCTCCGAGTCCAGGGAGCGACGCGAGAGGAGCGTGGAGCGTCTGGACTCGAAGGAGAAGAGAAAGAGTCCCGGGAGCAGAAGCAACACCATCGATTACGATCAGAGACACACTTTGGAGCGTTTCGATTCCGGTAACAGGAGCCCGTTCGAGCGTCTGAGCTCGCGCGAGCAACAGCGCGGCAAGAGCGTGGAGAGGCTGGACTCGCAGGAAAGACCGACCTTCGACTTCGATCCGGTGACCATCGAGCGTCTCAAGTCGCTGGAGCGCTGCAACTCGAAGGACAGAGGCTACGAGCGCAAGAGCCTGGAACGGCTGGAGTCCCGCGAGCGGCGCCACTCGCGCGGCAGTAGGCGGAGCCTCGAGAGCATCGAGCAAGTGGAGGGGAAGGACGGCAGGAAGAGCAAGGCCAGAGCGGAGAAAGTGAAGTCGGAGGAGAGGCCGCGAGAGAGGGACGATTGGAGGAGCTTGGAGAAGGCGAGGAAGGACGAGGAGAAGAGGGAGAAGGAACGTCAGGCGAGGCTGTCGCTGGAGTCGAGGACGGACACGGTGATAGGCGTGCCGTTGGAGTTGGAGAACCTCAAGTCGAAGACCGTGTTCACGGAGTACGAGCCGAAGATCGTGGGTGGCGTGGTGCTAGGGTTCGACGACACGATCCCTGGCCACACGCCCGTCGAGAGGACGAAGAGCGACCCGAATCCGGCGCGACAGCGACTCGGATCGAACAGCAAACGGCACATACTGATGCACCAGAAGTCCATCGACCTGACCACCGCCGATTCCGGCGACGAGGACCCGTTCTCGGACAGCGCTGCTGTACAGAAAACGAACATGGAGATCCCCTACACTCTGCACAAGCGTCACGTGATGAACGGCACCGCGTCCGCGTCCGACGAGAAGTCGGAGTCCGACAGCGGGAAAACATCAAAGAAGTCGGGCAGCGCCAAGGATTTGCCCAAGTTGCCGCTGAAGATGATCACGGACATCTCGTGTTTCGATCTGAGCAAACTGTCCTCGATAGACAAACCCGGCAACAAACACTCGCCGGACAAGACGAAGAGCGCCAGCGTCGCTAGGCCCAAGTCGATACTGAGCCCGTCGGATAAACCCAAAAGCATCCTCAGTCCTACGTCGAAGCTGTCGCCCACCGACGCGAAGAGTATTTGCAGCTACTCGCCCACGAACAGGAGCCCCTCCAAGGCGAAGTCGCTCGACAGAGCCAGGACCACCGAGATCGTAATCGAGGACCACGCGTGCATCAAGTCGTCCAGCCTTGACAAGAAACCGTCGCCGTCGAAGCTCTCGCCCATCGAGCCCAACGTCACCATCGTCACTACCATCGAGAAACGATCGCCCAAGGCGTCGCCCACTGACCCGAACATCACCATCGTGTCAGTGATACAGAAGAAGAGGTCCCCGGACGCGTCCAAGAGCTTTGGCGGACAGAGGTCGTTGGACTCGAAGGCCAAGGCGCTGAACTTCGCGGACGTAGTCGGGATGGAGATGAAGATGAAGCTGGAGCGCAAGGCTAAATCGTCGGAGTCGGAGAAGGACTGTCTGAAGGCGCCCGATGATAGTTTAGAGAAGCAGGACAGCATCGAGAAGATACCTCTGCCGGAGATTCCGGTACCGATTACCAATGCAGTGGAAGAGACGAAGGAAACGAAAGAAGTAAAAGAAGTCGAGGAACTAGCGATAGTGGAAGAAAAGCCTCCGGAAGAGACCACTGCTACGCAAGAGGAAAAGGAGAGCAAGGAATGCTTGCTGTCGACTCCGACAGTCGTGGTATCTGAGAAGCCAAAGATCCCCGAGAAGCCAAAGATCCTTGAGAAGCCAAAACTACCCGAGAAGCCGAAGATTCCCGAGAAACCAAAGACCCTGGAGAAGCCAAGCATTCCCGAGAAGACGAAGCGAATCCTGGAGAAGATCGAGTCGAAGTTTTCCGAGGTGAACAGGAACTCTGTGACCAGAGTGACCAGGCCTAAGATCATCGACACGGGGTTCGACGATTTCGTGGATCCAGTCGCCGACCTGCCTCTGGACGAGATACCCGTGAAGCCAGCTTTGGAATTGGACAGTTTGAAGGTGCCGGAGTTCGTTCCTTTCATGTCGAGGCCGCACGGGGAGCCTCTGCGGTCCAAGTCGCTGTCGTTGGCCGAGGAGAAAGCGCCCATCGACACCCTCCTTTCGCCGGAGGTGGAGAACAAGCATTTCGTGCCGGACGTGTCGCCCAAGAAAGCGAAGAAGGTTAAATCAGAAATGAAAAAGGACTTCAAGAAGCAGTCCAAGTCGCTGGAGGGCGACAAACCGCCTATGAAGAAAGTGGGCTCCAAGGAGTCCCGCGCGCCAACGCCCAGCTCAAAGATCGACAAGTCCAAGCTAAAGTTGGGCGAGATGCCGCAGGAGATCATCATCATCGACTCGACTGACGTGGCACCGGAGGTAAGCATAGTGCAGAAGGGTAGATCGAAGTCCGTGACCAGGCTGCCCGAGAAACCGTGCGTTGCGGCAAAGGATGAGAAGGAAGAGACCAAACCGCGTACGAAATCCGCGTCCGTGGACGACGATATGATCAAAGTCGCCATGAAAACCGAGAAGGCCAGGCCCAAGTCTCTGGGCATCTCCAAGAGCCTGGGCAGCACGGAAAAGAAGGACTCCACGGAGAAGATTTCGCCGAAACGAATGATCGCGAGAGTCAAGTCAGAGATTAAATCGCCCACCTCGGGGAAGGACGCGCCCAAGCAGGAGTCGAAAACGTCACGCAAGGTGGAGCCCAAGTCGGACGCGGGCGACGAGGAACAGTCGTTGCCAGAGCAGAGTCGAATCGCGCGGGAAGACGAGGCCAAAGCGGACGCGAAAATGCCCGAGGAACAGATGCAACGGGTCACCGACGCGACCAAGGAGCCCAAAGAGTCCAAAGACGCGAAGGACGCGAAGAAAACATCACTCGCGCAAGACCTGACGGAGGTGCCGGTCATTCTGCGCAAGCCTGGTCAGACGCCGATCCTGTTCGCGCGTGCGCGGCTCGGGCTCTCCGAGGGCAGCGGGATCGGCGCGCTGCAGCGACAAGGCGCGACGCAGTCGCCGACGTCACAGAGGCGAGCCAAGTCTCTGGACGCGGCGGTGATCGCGGTGCACAGGCTGCCGCCCGCCAACGCGTTCTCCAGCAAGGACGACACCGTGGACATGTCGGAGGATCGGGAAGACCAGAACCAGGGTCAGGATCAAAATCAGAATCAGAATCAGAATCAGAGTCAGGAGAAACAGGAGAACGTCGCGTCAGAGATCCCCAACGCGTCCAAGCCTCAATCGGTTCAGACGGTCGAGGCGTCGCCCAATCATAGATCCGACAGCACCGATCACACCACCGTTCCGGAGATCTTCACCGATTCTCTGTCCGTCACCGAGACCTCGGCGCAATACTTGGAATCGCCGTTGACCGAGTGCAACGAGATCATCGCCGCGACCGTGGATCTGATACCGTACGAGAGGGACATGATGGTTACGGAGACCAGGGATCATCAGACAGCGTTGGAGAGCGTCAGGGTGGACGATAGAACAAAGTTCATAGATCAGAGTTCCGTGGAGTCGAGTGGTCCTGAGCAAGAAGCTTGTCAGACCGATAGAGCCGTCAGACCTGATAAAATCGAGCTCGAAATCGTCCCGCCAACGAAGGAGAGAGTCTCGGATGACCTGGACGAAAAGATCGACGAAGTGGAATCCGAGGAGAAACAGAGCTCGCGACCGGAGTTCGAAGAGTCCATCGAGAGAAGGCCTATGGAGAGGGACGATCTGCCCGACGTAACGGTGACGGTGAGCGCCGCGCGAGAGGACTACGAGTGCTCCAGATCGATCGACTTCGAGGAGAATCAGGAAATGGTCAAGTCACCGATTCAGATCTCCATCGAGGAGTGCTCCGACGACGAGGTGGTCCAGAGCGACGAGCAGGATTACCGAGACGCCGAGGAGCAAGATGGCGACGACAATCGTCCGTTGGACTCCGCGGACACCAGCGAGGACACTTTGGACGCCTTGGACACGCAGGTTCACACGAGGGACGTGGACAGCGAGTTGAGCTCCCCGGACTACGGCGTGGATAAAATGGACGAGAAGACTCTGGTGGAGGTGGAGTTGACGCCCGAGTATCTGGAAATGAGAAGAGAGGACGACGAGGACGCCGAGGAGTTGCCCGAGGACGAGCCCGAGGAGAGGACGAAACGGTCGCCAGACACGGCTACCAACATCGTGAATCGGTTGTCGATCGACAGGAAGCTCAGGCTGAGCAGCGAGCGTTCGAAGAGCGAGGAGACCAACACTTGGACGCCCGATCGCGAAGACCCAGAGTCCAGTTCTTGCTCCATCGCGCGACCCCTCGGTATTGGCCAGATCCAGCCAATAGTAGATCGTCGAGAGATCGCGGCGATGAGGGACGCTCGCGGCGGGGGCGGGTCTCTGGAAGAAGAGAACAGCAGCGGTTCTCAGCCTGGGTTCAGGCCCGAGATGAGCTCGACCTGGAAATCGTTCCCCCTGGAGAGCTCGGGTAGCTCGAGCACAGAGGACGGTTGGGTGCCGCAGGACGAGAGCAACGCCGTCCAGTCGCAGTCCGAGGACAGCAACGGACAGAACGAGGACAGTTTCCAGGAGGACCTGGCCGATTTCCCGGGGAGCTTCATCTACCCGATCGGGCCAGATATCCTGACCAGCTGCGGAACGTTCGCGTTGACGCGCACGCTCTCGAGGATATCCGAGAGGTCGACGACATCGGAGCAGGACAAGAGCGACCTGGAGGACTCGTTCAAGCCCAGCTCGAGGTCACCGAGCCTGGACGACGAGTCCTTGATGTCCAGCGATCATCAGCCTTCCCTGTCCTCCGATCCACCGTCCGGGACCGCTCTGCCATCTGTTTCGGACGATCGTCGTACCTCGTCCGAGCTCCCGGACATCCCCATAGACGTCCTGGGCCAGGACGAGGACGCCAGATCGCCGAAATCGGCGGGCAGATCGAAGCTGCAGGCGCAGAGCTCGGAGGACTGGCCGTCGCCGCCGAGTTCGCCGGTCTTCGAGCCGCCCGTGGTCAGCCACGTGGAAACGTTTTACATGGAGATCAAGCCCGAGGAGGCGGTGAAGGTGACGGTGACGGACAGCACCGAGACCCCGGGCCGCGTGGATCGCGACAGCGACTCCAGCGACGAGAACAGGACCCTGCACGACGACCTGCACTCCACGTTCTTGGAGGACGGACAGAGCTCCACGTCCGCGACCACCGTCGACGGGACGGTGAAGATAGTCGTCAAGCCGAAATCGAACTCGTACATCACCGGTTCCTCTCACAGCGAGGACACGTCCATGGGTCTGTCCATGTCCGAGTGGTCCAGCTCGAACAACACCGTTCGCCAGTTTTGCCAGTATTCCGGCACCAAATCCGACGACAACTCCCTGGCGGAGCTGGGCGCCTCCATCTCGGACTGGTCGGGCAGCACCACCGTGATCCCGCAACAGTATTACTCGACCATGACGATCGAGAAGAGCCAGAGCGACACGACCACCTCGGACAAGAGCGTCACCAGCATGAGACCCAACTCCAAGTGCAGAACGGTCGACAGTCCTACGCCGGATCCGTCCTCGCCTCCATTGCCTTTGCCTCCGCCATCGCCGCCACTTACGCCACCGCCCACCATCGACGAACGAGGCGGTCCGCTGTTCGACGAGGACGTAAAACAGGACACCAACCGTGCAGTCACGCACGAGCAACTGGACGAGGCGAGGAGGTTCATCGAGAGCCAGTTCGACGAGCAGCGCCGTCGGTACGAGGAGGAGCAACCTGGTACTAGGTCGTACACCGACATCTCGCCACCTAGGATCACGTTGCAGAACGAGTTCGACGAGACGGTCGACGACGAGTTCCGAGTTATGTCGGACGATGGCGATACGCCGCTCCCCATCTTGGAGGAGGAGGAGGAGCTCGACGAGGAGGAGGAGGAGAAGCTTTACGACAACGTGCCAGCGATGAAGTACTCGGTCGGCGAACAGATACGAATGGAGGTGGGCCGTGGTGATAGCTCGGAGGACATGCACGAGAAGTACGCGGACATGGCGTTGGGCCCCCGTCCGCCGCAAGACGACGATTGGTCGTTCGAGGACGAGAGGGACGCGATCGTCGAGAAGGAAAAGAGCAGACCGATGGCGAAGTTCGAGCGTGGCTTCTCCGAGCCGACGGAGACCGCGAGGTATCACGAGACCAGATCCACCGAGCGTCCCGTGGTCGTTCCCATCCGAGCTAAATCGACGCCCTATTACTCGACGACCAGCCTGAGCGGCGAGTCTACCACCTCCAGCCCCCCTATGCAAATCAGGACGCAAATACGTACGAAAACGATGCCTTACCCATCGAGCCGAAGTCCCCAGAGCGAGGGCGAGACGTCCTCCAGCATGGACAGTCCCGTGCACACGCCAGTTCGTGGCCAGATAGCCGTCCGTCGAAGGAGACGGGAGAACTTGAAGAGGCGGCATCGGGTGGTGGTCGATCTCGAGGTGAAAGATCGTCAGATCGTTTCCAGCACCGACTCGAGCTTCGACGTCGCCACCATACCCCCGCCTCTGCTCGCCGAACGTCCGAGTCCCGACGTAGACGAGGACGAGGACGAGTACTCGGTGGCCAAAGACGAGCAACGAGAGAATACGAACAGACGTCAGCAGCGTTGATGGGACACTACTTGAACCCGAACAGCCTTACTTGATTCTTTCGTCGACGGTAACGAAACTGGGATGGCCGTGAACGTCGGTACGCTCGATATATGCTGGATCAGTTCGCTGAATTTAGCCAGGGTTGCGTCTTTTGGTTCCTCGGTGGCAAGGGGTGGGTGAGGTGCGGTCGGAATTGAGCGCACGCGTCGAATTGATAGACTTATATTCCTTCGTTAACGCGTTCCGTGTCGGCGATCGTTCTCGCGTTTGCGTTCGCGGTCGAGAGTTTGGACAAACGGATGCCAACCCGAGATCGATCGCGGCCCCCCAACCGATCTTTTCGGCCCGATCGACGTCGACGAGAGGAAATTCAAACTTGCGAACAATCTAGTCTAACGTATCGTGGTTAAGAGAGTAATTAGTACGTTTGTTACACGTTTTAGAAATTCGATTTACTTTGATATCGTCGTTATCACGTAGAGGCACTTGACGTGCCGCACTTAACGTATGAACGATCCGTCTCGAAGACACGAATCGAACACCTATTAACGATACTAGTCTATAAAAAATTTACGATGATACACGGTAAGAAACGAACGAACGATTCATACGCCTCGTGCACGCAAGTCCATTCATTCTTGCGGTTTGAGGGAATTTATTGCATATGGTATGGTCTGGGTCAGGAAAATAACATACTGGACACATTATCTTCTAACATAGGTCTTCCACGAAACACCGTTATAAGTTGTTCAGAAAGTAACGATATTCAACTCAAACAATACGAGAATATAATTTGAACTTGATAAATATTTATGAACTGTATCAGATTTATGCTCTCAATAGGAATCGTACGCGATAATTTAACCTATCGGAGCTAACCTTCGTCGAGGAGTCGCCAGAAAAGATAACAACGCGCGCCACCTGGCGTTTTGGCCATGCAACTAAAAACTCGTCCGGGAGACGAAAGAAATGCGTTTGGCAACGGCGAGAGTAAATGGGCTCGTGTGTACCGAGATACGTTTCGAGATTAATTTAAGATTGTGGCGGATCGATTGCCGCGTAGCTACGGAAAATATTACGTCAGAATTCTCGGGAGAAAAGGGCCATAGAAGGGAGTGGCGGTGGTAAGGTTACCGCGATGCTATTCGAGTGTAAAGAGAACGACAATCATTTGTTGGAAATAAGAAAGCATCGTCGGATAGAAGTTTGTCACTTTTGGTTCGGGAATCGAATCCTCGTATATAATTTGGTCGTAGTTTAGTTCGTGTCTCGTTTTAGGACGGAAGACAAGTTGCTCAACGTAGATACTTATATGAAAGATGATTCTCGCGTACTTTCGTTGATATATAATATATATATAATGTACGTACATGTTTATATCGTATGGAATTGCGATTCACGGCGCGAGTGACTAAAACGGAACCGCGCGGAAAACGTCGAAACGTTTGTCGTCGAATTATATCCACAAGGTCCGTCTCTTTTATTTTCGAATCGAACGGGTAAAACAGAAGGAAAGATCATCGATATAAATGGTCTTTCGGATGCTACTATTCAACGAAACCTACAAGCAGGTCTTGAAAAGCTCCTTCGTAACTGTTTCGAGAACCTAACCTATATCACAACAGTTTTCAAGCTCTGCTTACAAGCAGACCCAACGCAGCTGTTCCTTCAGGGATTTTTATAGAATTTGAACTACTGATCCGTTGTCTGTAATTTTTGAAATTGTTTTTTTATTGGATTTACATCGTTAGAAGTATACTTTCTATTTCTTAAAAACAATTCTTTTCGAGATGTTTTGATATATAATATATAATTATATAAGGAAATAAGTAATATACAATATAGGTATCTATAAATAATATAAAATCTAGAATTTAATACAACTTACCTAAAAACGAGAGAGTATAACTAACTTTTGTATCTACGAGGACTGAACTCGCGCACTATTGCTTCGACAGAACTGAGACATTTGGTTGGAGCTGGGAACTCTCTTATTTCAAAGTACAGTTTTCTTCTCTTTTGTTTAAAAACGCGTCAACGTATAAATAAACGTCCAAGAATACGTTTCGTGCCGACAAAGCATCGTATTATATTTCACGCAGTCTACAAAGTGTAGCCTAGGATACATAACTCGCTTAGCGAGTGGAACGACAATGAAGTATACTGTAGTAGGAAATTGATATATAGAAACCGTTATGCAATAATTTTGTTTTCTTTATTATACTTTTTATTTTGAACTTGATACGACAAGTGGGGGATAACGGGATTTGTAGATATTTTTAAAAGGGATAGACGAAATATTTTTAGGTTATGGAGATTTGAAAGGTGATTCTGAATTCAAAATTTTTAGTGGAACAGCCGTAGAGTCTGTTTGTTGAGTAGACTTGGTCCTTTATATAATACGATGATCACGAATAACTGAAAGATACGGAGGTGTCCTTTACGGAGGTCGTTCGACAGCAACAGCAATAGCGTCGAGGTCGTGTTTCCTTTATGTTTCCAATAATGGTGACGATTAAGGTCGCTCGAAGGTTATGTTTTACCTAGGTCGTTGAATTCCTGCTGTTGATGTCAATTATAACGTTGCGTCAATGAAAGTATATATCGTTCCATTTAAAAGCATCGACGACCTCGGTATCTTGAGGAGTTTTTGGCCTTGACAATATTTCCTGTCGATCGACTCTCGTCGCCGCCCTTTGCATCAAAGCGACGGTTATTCCCGATGGTCTCGCGCGACGAAGGTCAAGCAGCATCATTGAAACTCGTCTGACAAAGACACCGAACGTTCGAAAATCAGAGAAACGGCTGCATTCGTTCGGAAAAAAAAAAACTCCCTATTGGTTTCAATTTACATAGCGTTGCCTAAATTTTATATCGTACAATTTTTTAGGTATATACTATTTACATAACCACATATACGATACTTGAGCACACGACGGACGCCGATTCAAATTCGAAAGTTTTAGTCAGAGCTACGTACAGGTTATTAGATTTTTAAAGCATATTTTTCTTTTCTAAATAATTATTTTTTGTCCATAAATATATAAAGATATACGACGCGTGTAGTTTTCAAATTTCAAATTGTTATAGATACAGGGTGTTCGGTTAACCATGGGAAAAATTTTAATAGGTGATTTTAGAGACCAAAATAAGACGAAAATCAAGAATATTAATTTGTTGATGGAGGTATCGTTAAAAAGTTATTAACAATTAAATTCAAAAATTTCAAATCGTTTTGGAAAAATTATTTTCGGTTGCAGGGGTCAATTACGATCGTTTTTAGTGAATACACATACCTTCGAAATCTTATCCATTTTCGAGAAAAAAATTCGAGAAGGTGTGAAATTTTTCGACGAAAACAAATTTTTCAATTCGTTCTGGAAAAATTAATTCGGTTGCGGGGGTCAATTACAATCATTTTTGGTGAATAGACATAACCCCGAAATCCTACCTACTTTCGAGGAAAAAAATCGGTAAGGTGTGAAATTTTTCGACAAAATCAAAAAGTTTCAAATCGTTCCAAAAAAATTATTTTTAATTACAGTGGTCAATTACAATCATTTTTGGTGAATACACATATCATCGAAATCCTACGCACTTACGAGAAAAAAATTCGAGTAGGTACTGAAATTTTTTAGGGAAATTGAAAAGTTTCAAATCGTTTTGGAAAAATTATTTTCAGTTGCCGGGCTCAATTACAATCATTTTTAGTGAATAGGTATACCCCCGAAATCCTCCTCATTTTCGAGAAAAAAATTCGGGAAAGTGTGAAATTTTTCGACAAAATTAAAAAGTTTCATATCGTTTTGGAAAAATTATTTTCGGTTACGGGGGTCAATTAGAATCAATTTTGGTGAATACACATACCTCCGAAATCCTATTCATTTTCGAGAAAAAGATTTGAGATGTGAAATTTTTCGACGAAAAAAAAAATTTGAAATCGTATTGGAAAAATTATATTCAGTTTGGGGGGTCAATTACAATCATTTTTGGTGAATAGACATACCCCCGAAATTCTACCCACTTTCTAGAAAAAAATTCAGTTAAGGCTGAACTTTAATTGTTAATAACGTTTTAACGAAGCCTCCATCAACAAATTGGTATTCTTGATTTTCGTCTTATTTTGGCCCCTAGAATCCCCCATTAAAATTTTTCGCAGACCTAACCCGAACACACTGTATATTAATTTTCGAATTTTCCTGCACTGGTTTAGAGATCGTGAACTTTTTATTTATTGAGAAATTGTACAGAGACTCATCTTTCCCAATCGTTGCTATAGTGTAAACCCAGGGGTCGGTAAACTTTTTCCAACGAGGGTCGGGTAGGAAGTATTTTAAGCTCTGCGAGTCAAGGGGTAGAATCGAAGGTAGGCACATACTCATACGTAGAAGACAGAATACAAAATTTTTTATTATTTTTATTTTTATAAATAGTCCTAAAGTATAGTACCATAAATGATTCGACGTCCGTCATCGGAGGGTTAAAGAAAATTAAATATAAAACGTTCGCGCGTGTACAACGATTCGTTGAAATGTTCCGGTACACCAGCGACGGAAGAGATCTTTTATCGTGTCGAGGTTAGGTTAGGTTTGCCACGAGTTTAGGTTCGTATGATTTCATCGATTTTTATTCCACTTGGAGATGACTCGGTTGGGTTTTCTTCGATGTTCCGTGTATAGGACGCGCGTAGTTGGATTGTCCGGTGGTGCTAACTCTGTCGATCGATCGATATTAATATAACGGTGAGGAAAAAAGCTCGGAGTAAATAAAATACCTGTTACGAGGCCGGTGAAGGCGGTGTTGACGCGTGACACGTCGAGCGTAAGGGGCGTCGATTAAAAATAATTCCTCTTCTCGCCGTGAGCTGGACACGTTGCTCGTGTTTAAAGGATTCTACTCCGCGTTCGGCGTTGGATAAAAAAAAAAATAAAAAAAAAAAGAACTATACATTCGTTACCCGCATGTTAGGTGACCATCGATTCTCGTGAAATTGTCATTCGTTTTTGGAAGTTTGTGCGATTAAGAATCGTTCGAAAGCAATAATTCATACGCGTTAATAAAGAAAGAAAAAAAAAAAATGAAAACGTCGATCGTAGAGCGATCGACGAACACGAGCGAATCGTTGAAGGAAGCAAGGCTAGTGCACTCCTAAACGCTTTTTTGTCTGCACTTCGTAGGGAACGGACCGCAACGTTCGCGCGTTAAAAAAATTTCCGAAGGATTTCGTACAACGGGGGACACGAATCGACGATAATTTCCCCGTCTATTTATCGCATGGATAAACGCGTGGTTTCGACGAAATAGTTTCACACTCTGGCTGCCACGCGTAGTTCTCTGGAGTATCCACGAATCTAGTCCCGACTCGTCCCTCCGATTTTACGCTTAACATTTCCGTTGTTTATTTCGTAGGTAGTGATAGACCACGGGCATATCGAAAGAAACCGCTCTATTTTTAATATCGCGGCGGGAATACCTCGAAGCGAGCGTTATTCGCTTACAACGACTCGACCGGGAACGGTGCTTGAACGCACGACGATTAAGGGGACGGCTCGTAACGATCGAGACGCGGAAAGACAAACTCGACGTGCACTACGTCCGAACGAAAAATCCTCGGCTTCCGAGTGTCTGGATTATTTTTCGCGGGGGGAAAGCGTGGCGGTCGGAGCATCAGGGTTGTCTTTGCTTTCAGACGCGAACGGTCTGAATCGTCCTGCGATCGATTCGTCGAATTATCATAGAATATCCGCGATGGAAAGAGAAAGACGGAGAAATGTACATAATCAACGGGCGGAGTCTGAGAATCACGAAACGAAAATCGGCGTCTGAAAGAATCGTCTATCGAGTAGACACGGACGAGATCCGTTGATAATCACGTTATCGTTGAATAAGTCGTTAAAATCACACCACCGTGACCATTAATCGCCGCTCCATTAGTCATTGTTACGCTATTATCGCTACAAGTAATTGATTACAAGGTTACTGTTACTACACCGTAGAGCGCAGTGAAGATTACGAGAAAAGAAACACTAAAACTGTACGTAACCGCTACGTATCGAAAGCTGTATTTAAACGGAGAGTATGAAATTGATGGGCGACTGCCGAGTGCCGATAACGATGGCGAGGTTCATGTCGATTATTTTGCCGACGAGTCGACGCGAGATCCATTCGATCGCGACACGGATACGCACGCGACCTATTGCGACGCATTCGCGAGACTCGGGAAACGGAAGAAATAAAAAACGTTTCGCGCGGGAGTCGCGATGGGTTCGCAAAAACCAACACCACAGTATCGGTATCTGGGTCTGTTCCTTTGCATGCACACGCTCGATCTCTCTTGGCATATTCCCGTAACGCGTCGCTATCGTTGGATCGTCGACCGAGTTTCCGGTGCGATCCCTCACCGCGCGACCCTCGAAATCGCGTCGAGTTATCGACACCTACGAAGCATCGTCCAGAGGGCGGGCGACAGTTAAAATTACTCTGATTTCGTGCAGTCGGTGTCCTTTCCGAACGGAGACGTTGGAACAGTGCATGCGTAGCAACGGGCATTCGGTACTTCCTTCCGTTTTCATACATTATCGCGCGTATCTGTGCGTTTCAACGAGTTCAGGGGCTCGTCTGTCCGACAGAGTAAATTTAAACTCGATACTTTCGAAGCCCGTCGCTA